TTTTTTTTTTTTTTTTTTTTTTTTTTTTTTTCGGAAAGCTTGAACTTATATTGTAAAAAACAATGGAACGAGTATAAGTATGACTCAAGGTCAACAGTACTTGAGGTCAAATGCAACCACTCAGTGATCACCAAGCACGACGGACAAAAGATGCAATACGCAGAAAACTGACGAGAGAGATGACGCAGAGGGTGGGAAAGAGAGAGAGAGACACACAAGGCAGTGTTCCCGAACGCGACTAATTACCAAAAATAAGACGTGAAGTACAAGCATGGAAACGAAGTTCCCATATGGCATTGAGACCCGTCAGGTTTCGCCTAGCCCCCAACTAGGACTCATCAGGGGTCTAAGTCGGCTAAAGAACAACTGCGTAGAACCCTATATATATATCTAAAGCAACGAAGATGTATGTAACACACCGGCCCATCATATCACCCGTTCACAGCATAGTCGCGAAATTCTCCAGAAACTTCTACGGGAAAATGACTAACTTGGTCCATCCTTAGTCCAGATGAGTTCTGGCCCATGCAGCACCGAAGGGCCTAATAGATAGAGAAGTACGGGATAATTGGTAGAAAGAGCCCACGCCAAAAACCTTTTCAGTTTTGGGCGCTCAAAGTTTGGCCGGTTGGTACTACGGGCCCAAACGTCTTCAGCCTGAGCAAACATCAGTCAGAGTGACACAAACACACAAGTGTTCAATCACGCAGGTGCAGTAATCCACCACACAAAAGAAGTGGAACCGAGCGCAGGTAACTGCGTTAAAAAGAAAGTAAATGAAGCACATAATGCAGATCAGGCGAAAGACCCGACACAGTGTTTCTACCGGTCGCCTGTCCGGAGTCGTCAGGGGTCGTGATGAACTACCTAGCGCAAGATGGAGACTAGAACTACAACTATCCTACTTATACCCAAAAATATATCTGTATGCAGAGTAGAAAGTTTCCGCGGTAGCAAGAAGAGATACTCAAAACAAGCTCCGAAGAAGGCTCCGAGAAAGTTCCAGGTACCAAGACGTCGTCAAGGCCTAAAGAGAAGAAAAATCGAAAAAATCAGAAAGCGGCAGACCAAAGTTCGAGTCTAGCAGCTGGCAAAAAGACCAAAGAGGCAGAAAATGACCATAAAACAATAGGCCAAAGTTCGAGTCCAGCGGTTGGCAAAAAGACCAAAGAAGCAGAAAATAACCATAAAGCGATAGGCCAAAGTTCGAGTCCAGCAGTTGGCAAGAGGACCAAAGAGGCAAAAAATGACCATAAAGCGATAGACCAAAGTTCGAGTCCAGCAGCTGGCAAAAAGACCAAAGAAGCAGAAAATGACTGTAAAGCGATAGACCAAAGTTCAAGTCCAGCAGCTGGCAGAAATACTAAAGAGGTAAAAAGTGACCATAGCATAAAGAATAGAACTAAGGAGATAAACAGTTACCACTTCCACCTAGTAAAACATTTGACCCATCGGTCCCAACAGGAGTTCATTCTCAAGGAGAAACTCCGAAGACAATCGTCAAAGTATGAATCTGGAAATCCTCTCATGTAGCTCCATCTTCAGTGTGAAAAGGAAACATGCGTCAGCGCCTGGCATAGTTGTAAGCGTTCTAGCCCGATGAAGGCAAGCCGTAATTACCGACATTTTTTTGCTGTCTGTCCGAGTAGGACTCAAAATCTTGCAGGTTTTGGAACACAATCCCTTCCTTTAGAATAGCTCGTTGGTTCTTGTGAATGGCAGCACAGAGGACCGAACAAGGTTGACGAAAAACTTTGATCACACATCCCAGAAAATCCCAAGAGTCACTGTTACTAGTCAACTCCAAGACAAGATTGCTATCATAACAGGATCTAAAATCATTAAGGCGGGTTCGGCCAAAGTCTTACTAGAGGGAGAAGAAGTACARAATTTAGAAAAAACCGAGACATCATCTACTAATCTAATACCGAATAGCAGTCGTCGTTCTCTGCCCAGATGATTAAGGAATTCCGCCTCATTAAATGCGCAGAGAAGGCATGCGAGAGCAGGGCTTGAAGGCTTTCCCATAGGAATACCAATCTTTTGYTGTACGAGTAGACACATAGCTGATACGAAAGTATTATCTAAGTCGAAGTTGACCGAAGTGACAAGAGTGGAGAACTTGATACGAGCAAATCCGGCAGGGTGAGAGGCGCCTTCGCGCAGTGGCCACATCTCCCTGGGCCTGTTTTTACYAGTTCAAGAATTTGGCTCTGTTTTTGCGCCTGATTCATGAACTGGTAGGGCCCTTCTTTTTCAAAATACTGTACGTGGGCCTCATTCTATACTTTAGCGGTACCACCCTCGGCCTCTTTTACATCAAAATGAATCTGGCGCTCTTATGCACCAGATTCATGATCCAGTAGGGCCCTTGGAGCTACGCGTGGGCCTGTAGTACCCCACATAGAAGTCATGGGGCCCGTAGTACCAAACGCCCAAGTTTTGGGCGCCTGTACCAGCCCGAAGAGTCCAAGTCCTCAAATCATCAAGAAGAACCAACAACAGTCCAAGTACGCAACCCAAAAGTTTCCGACTGCTGTACAGCAAAGATACGAAAGAAGGACTTTGTACCAATGTTGGAAAACCAGACCAGGTTCARCCAAAAAAGAAAAGGAAAGCAAAAAAGAAGAGGAACAAAAAGCTACAACAGAAACAAAGGTCTGGAGTTCAAACCATGGTTCAACTACAAGACTCACAGCCTCATGACTCTATCCCACGATCGAAACTCGTCAGAATCCAGAARACCTGAGGTACCATGATAGACCCATAGGAATGCAGAAGACCCTCCAACTAAACYGGGGACCTCACAATTCAACCGGGGGTTATCCTGGCAGCCTCAGCCAGTTTCGCTTACTAACCAAGCTGGACTACTAAACCGATTGTTCAGGATATGCTGGAAACGGGGTCCAGGGTCGTTTCCTACTATGCTTTCCAAAAATGTAACGCACAGAGTAAAAAAGATGAGCTTAACTGATAAAGACAGCTCATTGCCTCTCAACATATTTCCTGTGTACTGAGGTTGGCCCATAAGAGCCCAGTTTCCCTTCCTTCCAATATTCARACTCAGTAAATTTATGGCTGCCCAGAAAACTTCTTTACGTGCTCACCTATGTATCATCCRTGGTCATGACCGCGGGCTTTTTTACCGCACRCGGTTGGGACCACGCCCATGTGGGCYGACCGCCCGCGGCTGAGTGCGGGCAAGAACC